CGCTATAAGGCTTAATTCGCCTTCGAATACTATTACGGCTCATACTAATGGAACAAAACCCGCACATGTCTTTTGGTCGATGCCATTAAAACGAGACCAAGCACGCTGATGACACGCGATGATAATCAGTAACCGCTGCTACATGGCTGTCGCAGGGCAGGCATGGACGAGTACTTGATCCTTTTCATATACGCTGTCGCAACAAGGCTTAGTTAAACTTGCCGTTGATTTTTGGTGTTTATTTGTCCTTGCAGTACCGCGTTATTTGAATACAGCTTGAAATGAGTTTTCTTCAAGAATGATTGTAACTGCACTTTGACAGTCAGCTTAAAGGATTCTTCATGCGAGCTGTATTGATGCGAGAGCCTTAGACGCCCAAGAGACCAGTTTTCTCGGAAACGGCTGACCACCTCCGAAGCTCTATTTCTTTTGCAGTGTGCCACAACGGACAAATCTGAAATGGGTGTACTGAAGAGCATGGTGCCCGGAATGGTCTGCTCACAATGACGTTTTTTTACGCGCCCCTGACATGGTTCAAACCAGGTGACGTTACTAGAAAAACGTAACTTATAACACGTGCTGAAGAGTGTTCAGCTTGGTATTCCATATGGCTTGCTTGTCGCAATGTAAGTCCGGCTCTTATGACATATCTTGGGTCACTGTATGCCTTAGGTACCTTTGATGCAGTATATCCTAGCTTCCAAATTTCCGCTTAAATAATTTAAAATGCTCAAGTATACATGAAACTGTGTTCGATAAGCCGCCGCTAATTGTCCAAAAGTGTGTAACAAGAATGAGTGTCCTGCTAGACATTCAAGAATACAACCAAAAATCCTTTGGCTGCTCCTCTCCAAAATAACGCCCAGCGTCATTAGACAGAAGATGAAAGCAAAATAACTTATCGCATCCGCGTCAGTGGGTGCTGCTGAAAATTATGACGCATTCAGCAAAAGTACAACGTAGGGAGATGCGCGGTGCATAACTAGGGGCTCTATGTCCGCGCGTGTGACGAGCGTGAATCACGGCCGTGTGAGCGGGCCACCTGCGGCGTGGGAGGGGGGGGGGGGAGGGGGCTGGGCAAGTTTGGTACCCTAACAATTCCTGCCCACCAATGCATTGCAATACTTTCCTTTTAAACCTTCTTTTGAAGGCAATGCGCATATCTTTTTTGTGTCTTTGCAGGTTATATAGCTTCATACGTTCACTCACTTGCAGTATGGCTTCCAACCGTCTGTCAGTAAATCTGAACAAGTGTTCGCCTTGCAGGTGACATTGATCGGTTTTTATTAGCTTATATTTTCTTTGAGCGCGGTCAAAGTGTTGTACCACAATCAAATGAATTAGGCGCATATGGATAGGTTTTATAGATACTGGATCATTTTCAAGGTCCACTGTCCATTCACGTAGGTCCCAGCGAGTGGTGTTTGACAGCAGTTTTGAAGAATGTGGCCTGGTCCATTTTCCCGTTGATTACGGGGACTCCTAAAGTTTAGACAACATGGTAATCGCCTATTAACGTGAAGAGTGTGCATTCACATGTACGATGCAGTCAGTGTTGCCAGTTTTATACCATGATCTGATCCACTTGCCGAGACCCGGCATCAAATAGGTACAAATATCGAGCGCCAGTAATTTTGCAATGTCCAGCGCGCGGGTGGGCGTGGCAGACCGTGAGATCCCATCAAATACTTTGCCAGCATCGTTACCCGCTTTCTCCTAAGTCAAACGGCATTGACATGGTGTCACTGCGACGCCAACTAACCGATATCTGGGCCATGCATGCACATGAGGTGTGCGCTTGCTTGTATTTTTCTGGTTTGTATTAATTATGCGATATGATGGGAGAGGGAAAATATTGATGACATTGCATTTGTGAGGGAACGCCGTTTGTAATTACACAGCTTGCATGTAAATTGTGTAACAATATCGCAACGTATGTTTTGTGCACGTGCTCTTTTGCTGTCGAAAACAGCACAACGAAGTGGTAAGTGATTGCACGTATATTAGCCTATCAAAGGTACGTCTATCCGGGGCAGTTCGCTGAGGCTAAGCAAATTCCAATACGCTGAAGTCAAGCAAAAACTCATGTTGCTGTTTCCTTCCTATCAAACGATTCTGTGCAAAGGCAGATATGCGCATATCTATGGCGATACATTTATAAAGTGGTGGGTACTTTAAATGATACCCTTACAATGGCGAAGATGCAACGGAATGACCTGCACACAGGCCTAACAAATCTCTTACGCCTTGCGCTGAACAGCATAATTTTGCAAATATAATACCTTAGTAAATGCACCTGGCCGGTACGATTACCACTGGACACAACGCACCGAAAATAGCTGCCGTATGACAGCCAGCTCCTAGTGGGTGCATGCACCCCTCGCGGGTGAACCCATCCTTTAGGGCGACACTCACCGGTGTCCAGGCAGATACCCATGTCGTCGGGGGACAGGCGTCACACGCACGTCATCGGAGCGCTCCGCCCGGCGGGCCGTCCGGCGGCCGGCTGCGCCGCCGCCGCCGCCGGTGCGCCGCCACCCGCCGCCGTCACGGACCAACAGCTGCTGCGGCATCATGAGTTATTCAGGTGACGTCACGTTCTTCGGTGGCCGCCATCGACCGGCGCATTAAACATGCAAGTGTCCGAAGAGCGCCCGTCGAGCCCAGCCCCGGGAACGGAGTACCGGCGTGGTCAGGTGACCTCTCACCAGGTGGAGGGGGCCGGGCAGGTTAGCTAACTCTGCAGGACCGCCAGCAGAAGGCCGGGCAGGTTAGCTAACTCTGCAGGACGGCCAGCAGAACCGTGCAAGCTGACGAGGCTGGCAAGGGCGGTCGAGAGAGGTCAATCGATCCAGAACGCACGATCTGAAGATCAGTTAAACCCAAACATAAGCCGCAACATCAATACAAGACAACTTTTTAGAAGGTTTTCCCTTCAACAACAAATCGTTTTTCCTCTTCAAAAACAAAGCGTCGAGGACAGTCAGATCACAAGAAATAACACGTGTCCGGTATGGCCTCTGCGATCTGGCTGCCTGGGGTCAAGCATGCATATGTGGGACGAGCATAACTTCATTATGTTAGCCATCTCTACCGTTTTCCATGTGCGGCCAGATCCCTCAACCCGACTCATGTTGTGCATGCATAGAGGCACCCCATGAAACGACTGATTCGGAAAATGCTACAGGCTGGAGCTAAAACGGCCAACTTCCATCGAACAAATATCTATAAAGCACCCTGAAAACTCAGCAAGCTCACTCACTGCTAACATCGACCCTGGATTATAACTATTAGTGTACTTGATCTGTTTAACGGCATTGTGCACAACTAATGCATTATACACCTTGAAGAATGCGTTGTGCATTATACCCATTGGTACATAATGTGAGTCAGGCTTTTCAATTAGCGGATTACTTTCAGAAGCGATAAGCATGAGCCAGATTGTAATCGACCACAATACAGCATACCGAACGATCCAACGTAATACTGAATGGCCCATGGCCTTGTACAATCTGTATTATAACAAGAACCATTTTTAAACGTATACTGCTTTTCATTCCTTCCATTCGCGAACTATCGACATCTGCGGCATCAATTTCGTCCGACTCTAATCTGGACGTTTGGACTCGGGCTTGGAGTCGTGACGGGAATGGCGGGAAAGAATTCTCAGAAAACGTGCTGGCCGGTCAGGGCTGAATTCAGTACGTAATCTTGGAGGGAGCCGGGGCGAGGAGAAGACATTATTTTCCCGAAAATCAGGCGCAAGCGTGAAGGAATTACACTCCACCAGTGTATGGCTGGGGTTGCCGCTTAACAGCTGCTTCTCGTGGACCAGCCATGGCAAAGCCCATCTAAATCAGCTGCTCGTACTGACATGAATTGTAATTTGTAAACATTAACCTTAGCTGGTGAAAATGGGAGCCCGTGTTTCGGAGCACATCTATTGCTTAGCCATGGTTACTACTAAATAACATTTAGTCCCAAGCTTTTCAGGCGTTACGCAATGCTTCAAGTTTCTCTTCGACCATTTGGGACATTTTTCAAATCTGCCAATATTTAGGTGTCAACAGGTATGCCATAAGCAAGAAAGCAGGAGAGCGCTGCTTATTCTCAAGATATCCAGTCAGTATTCATTTTCTAAACGTGCCTGAATTCTATTCTATTCTGTGACAGTCTATGAAGCCGTGTGATTGGCCATTGCGGGTGCCGTAGCACGGCCGTGAGGTCTGGGACGCTGGCATTCTGCCAGACGACGACGGCTAAGGTTTGCCGGCGTCGAGACTTGCGTCGGCTGCGACTCAGCCAGACGACGATGGCTGAGGTTTGCCGGCGTCGAGACTTGCGTCGGCTGCGACTCAGTCAGGCGGCGACGGCTAAGGCTTGCCTGCGTCGAGCCTCGCGTCGGCCGACACTCAGGCAAGCGACGACGGCTCACTCCAGTTCGTGACATACACTTCTGAAATGCATTTCTTTACTCGACTTTGTCGCCTCACATGAGGCCGTGGTTGCTCTTTTCAAGCCAAACGACTGTACAATAGCACCGCGACGTCAGCCATGGTGCTTTATTATGCTGATGACTATGCATCACGGATCGCAGTTGTACGAACGGAAGCCCAGTTCATGGTCTATTTACCTGGCTGTCTGCGGGTGGGCTAAAACACACTATAATTGTGTGCTTTGCGGCTAGCTATTCCCGCAATTATTAGGGTCACCAAGAAATCTTTACTGAAACCATGCACAGAACGCGACACGTTTTCAAGTTTCTTTTTTCCGGCTTAGATCGCGACACCCGAAGGGTATCGGGTGGTAGCCGTGCCGTGACCTACTGCAGGATCAGGTCAGGCCGCAGCCTCGCCACGACCTTGCCCGGCCGGAGCCGGGTGCGTGCCGTGCGTGAGCGGCGCTGGCGTGCCGCTCCACCCAATCGATGCCGTTTATGTTCATGTTTTCGCCGGCAAGCGCGTCCGTTCGGCGCCGGCCAGGCCGAGACGATGAGCTCGTCGGTGTCGGTGAGCAGGCGGGGACCACGCGACGGGGGGCATGAAGCGGTTAACTGCGGGACACGGACCGGTCCGCTGCAGGATACAGACCGGCCCACTGCGGGAGAGGGACCAGTCAATTAGGGACAGGGACTGGCCCGCCGCGAGACACGGATCAGTCCACTGCGAGACACGGACCGGCCCGCTGCGGGACACGGTCCAGTCCACTGCGAGACGGGGACCGATGTACCGCGGGACACGGACCGGTCCACCGCAGGGTGCAGATCGGTCCGCTGCGGGACACGGACCGGTCCTTTAGGGATAGGTGATCGGCCCATTAGAGACAGCGACCAGTCCGTCGCAGGACACGAACTGGTCTGCTGCGGGACACGGACCGGATCATTAGGGTCAAGGACCGGTCCACCGTTGGACACGGGTTGGCCCACCGCAGGGTAGAGACCGGTCCGCTGCGAGATATGAACTGCCGGTTTAAAGTCAGGTTTAAACCGGCGGGCCGAGTGCACGGTGGAAACCCTGCAGCGAAATATGATGCAAGACAGCCAGAGCCACTGGCCACACATCGCGGCGACAGCGTGCCAACTGACATTACCCGCGCTCACAATGTCCGTTTTCTAATTTCCTAAAAGGTTGCGGGCCCCGACGTACACTGGTAAAGGTCGAATGTCCGTTGTGCACTTAGGCTGATTCAAAAAGCTTGACACGTGCCTATTGACGGTGGGCACAACGAGGCCCACTGACAGCGGGCACACCAATATTGATGCCACCATGACGCTCCAACTCTGGCATTGATATTACACGGGAGAACCGACCCTTTCATCAAGCCTTTTTTGTTCGATATTAGTAAGCCTTCCACTAAAGTAGCATGCTACTAGAAAAAAAAACTCCGCATTACTGCTCCGCAGGAACGACCTGTTAATCAAACAAACCTGTTTGAAGATTCCCAAACGGTGGTGAGAAAAAAAAACTGGAATCCAACCCGTAGCGTTACAGATTTCCAGGGCCAAGTGGCGTCACGTTATGTGACATATTTTGGCAAAGGCCGGGTGCAGTGCGAGCAGGAATGGTTCAAAGCAGGAGGCTGGTTGGATGGCCAGAATATGTCACAAGCGAATTTGCCATCTCTAAAGGCATCTTGAATGCCATAGACTAATTGAAGGCTGGATTAGATCCTGAGATATTCGGTGTGTCTGACGTCAGCCAAGGTAGTAGCACTGACAAAATGACAGCCGACGAATATCCTCAGCCAGATCTTAGTATGTGCGACGATACATTAGATAACTTAGAATGAAAAAAAATGTGGCTGGGTGCAGAAGTAGTTCATATTCCGTTTGGTAAGAAACACATTTCTTCCACACAGCCATACGTCAAGCATTCGTTCTTAGCTGTGTCCAGGTTCACAATATATTATAGTGACGAAAATAGCCATTTTCACGATGGATTAAAGCATTGGTGAAATTTGACAGGTATTTTAAAATAATCCTATGAAGTTTAGCATATCTTAAACACTCTGACAAGAAAAAGATGGCTTTCATGCAACTTGCACTAGCATGCAGTAGGCAAACCCAGTGTATACAACCAAAAACAGGATCGGGGTTTGAGATAGGTGACAAGGCGCTTAATCAACACGTTTTTGTTGGCCTATGCATTTAACTCACCCAAGTTCTGGGTAAATGTTAGGCCTGGCAACCAACTATGTGAACCAGTCGAAGGCGTTAGATGCTCGCTATGCCATTGCCGTTTACATCGGTACTGTATGGAGAAAAGTGGGCATTATTTCATTCGAGGACCATTCATCTTGGATCCTGTTAAGATATATGAGCCCTGCAAGTTCTGCAAGTGCTGTATGCCTATGAGCGGGGACGCTACAAAGATTACGAGTTTGTTCTGTTGCGTCTGCCTCAGAGATACCACTGAATGTCTTTTAAAAAGTTGTAAAAAGTTTCGATAGGAAAATATCTTGCATTGCTCTGGTCCATAAAAGCATGAGCCTGCTTATCGCCAGCCAACCGCAGTTCTATCAAATCAGGTGCTATCACAAGCATGTTTTCAAATACACTCGAAACACTTCTGATCAAAAACAGCTGATAAAAGGTGTGTGGTTAGAAAATAAAGGCTGCAAAGGATTTAAAAAGTTTAAGAGGTTTTTGCACCACATTCCCTTGTGAAAACAGCTAATGTGATAAGTAGTGAGGGCTCAAGCATTTGCAACGCAAGCAAGAGTGCAGAGCTCGGTGAAGATTTACATTTATAGAAGACTTCGGCCGCCCGCGGAACGGTTGTACAGTGGGTCACATCATTCTGGAGTCGTTGTGAAGCATGCTCATTGTGCTTATGGTGACTCTCGCGTGAGATGTTGATTTCGGTTGCTGAAACAATCATGTGATTTGGTTTCCTGCTATCTTTACCACAGAAATCCTTTCCAAGGGCAATTTAGATTAAACTTCCCAACAATCGGTACAAGCGCCCCAAAATTCGGTAGCTCGGCGTATCAATACCGTTT